ATTTCTACTCAGTGAGAAGCCACCTCAGCAGGTCTGGGTCAGCCCAGAGGAGGGGCCAGAGACACCTTCCTCTCTGTGGCACCATCCCCACCCTCCCGCTCCCCAGCCTGGACAACGCTTCCATTGTTGCAGTGTTGCATTGGAAGATTCTCAGCAACAAAATTTCAAATCTATGAAGAGAAAAATACTATCTAAAAAGTTATTTTTATACCCAAATCGGAAAAACTACATTTCTAAGACTCTCTTGAAACTAGATGGCTGTGTGATGCCAACTGACCAATGAGAGGTAAGCAGATGCCAACCAGGGGGTGCCGGAGATTGGCATCACCACTTATTTCTTGTTTTTTTCCTCCTGCCTGGAACACCAACCTAATGGCAGGGGCCACGAAGCCACCTGGCAACCAAGAGGGAAAGGCCAGGGACCTGCAGGCCTGGCCCTGGCACCCTTGAGCTCAGAGTTGATGCCAGGCTGCGCCTGCCTAGAAAGAACTTGCATCAGTGTGTGGCAATGTGGTTACACAGCAGGGCTGGCCCCTGACACAGACAGCCAGTCAAGTCTAGAGAGACAAACTGGTCAAAAAGTACCTCCTGAAGAAAATATGGATTTATATTTGAATCTTCCATTCTAACTTTTAGTCAGTTGTTTTTTTTTTAAGTATGTTCCTGTTTAGAACATCAAAAATTCTAGAGAAAGAACAGAAACCTGTCCTCTGAATGCTGGGCAGGCAGGCAACCTTCTGAGATGGCCACAGGTTACCCTGCCCTGACAACACCATCTTCATGTTCACTCCAGGCCTCCGGATGCCACCTGCTTGCCCTCTCCTGGCAGAGCCCATATCACCTGCTAGTCCTGGCTTTTCCTTTGCTAAGTTGTGTTGTGATTTTGGATGCTAAATTTGACTGCACAGCTTTCTGTGCCAGATAGAGATGCACAGCATGACTGGAGCCTGCGGTCTAACCCAAGGGAGTTGCCCCAACAGAGCGAGTCTGTGGGTCTGGCACCCTCGTCCTTCGGGCTCGGCAGTGAATCAGAGCAGGTTCTGCCTGGCTGTAAGAGACAAGTGTTCCTCCCCTCGGGTAGGGCGCAGGCACGGTCAGCTCCCAGGAGTGGACTCAGCTGCCCTGACCTCTCTTCTCAGCACACAGGCAATCGGTCACTTGTCAGGCCTGCCCATCCCCCAGACCAACCTGGCCCCAGTGTGGGGCTGCACTCAGGGCTTGGGGGCAGTGTCAGCTGTAGCGCCAGGCACGGGTGCTGAGCCAGCCTAGGGTGAGGGGCTACCACCTGGAGGTAACCCCCAGCAGCAAATGCCCTCTCATCCACCTCAGTGCTTGGTCTGCCTGGTGGGCTCCCTGCCTCACCTAGCACCACCTCTGATGGACAGCGGACAGCTAAGGCAGGTACCAGCCCCTACTTCCAACCTTTCTCCACTGTACACGGGCACTGAATGGTCAAGACAGACAGGCCCCTGCCTTTACAGCTGCCTAGAAGGAAAAGCAGCGTCACACACAGACACTTTGTGCCAAGGAAAGCCAGGCCTGGCCACCTCCAGAGCCTAGCAGGAGCTGAATGGCCAGAGCCCCAAGGGGTGTCTGGAGGTGGAGAGGAAGGCAGGGAGGGTGGTAGGGTACCCAGCGGGAGGTGCAGGGACAAGGACACGTGGGGAGCCTGAAGGGGATGAGTCCCCCTCTGCCCCCATAAGTTGGGCTCAGAGACCACCTGCACCCAGCCCCGTGAGAGCAGCTCGATGCTGCATGTCTCCCTTGAGTCAGCGGCTCACTGAGGAGGGATGAGGCCTCATCAGGAACACCAAGCCTGGTGCTCAGCGGTGGAATGAGAGAACCAGATCAGTAAGAAATGGGCTGGGCCGGGCGCGGTGGCTCACGCCTGTAATCCCAGCACTTTGGGAGGCTGAGGCGGGCGGATCACAAGGTCAGGAGATCGAGACCATCCTGGCTAACACGGTGAAACCCCGTCTCTACTAAAAATACAAAAAATTAGCCGGGCGTGGTGGCGGGCGCCTGTAGTCCCAGCTACTCAGGAGGCTGAGGCAGGAGAATGGCGGGAACCCGGGAGGCAGAGCTTGCAGTGAGCTGAGATGGTGCCACTGCACTCCAGCCTGGGTGACAGAGCGAGTCTCAGTGTCAAAAAAAAAAAAAAAAGAAAAGAAAAAAAAAAGAAAAAGAAGGATGGGCTGTGACAGTAACCTCCCGGGGAGTGGAAGGGGAGGAGGCCAGCCTGTGACTTCCCTGCTCACAGCTGGAGGCTGGAGAATGTCCAGTCTTACTCCAGGAGAATCGGCTGGGCCCACATCTAAATGTCTTCAACTTCTCTCCAGGGTGCTGACATCACTGCCCAGGTCATTAACAGATGGGCAGACGCCTGTCGCCTCATCCCTGAAGGCGCAGGACAACCACACGGCCAGCAGAGCTGACCAGGGCGGGCCCCCTGGCAACACCCTGGGCTCGTCTGGACTCTAATAAGCTTCTAAGATCCCCTCCAAGGGTGTTAGAAGGGAAAAGACTTTGAATGTGCAGTTTTAAAAATTGAGGTGAACTTCACATAAGAGTAACCATTTAAAAATAAGCAATTCAGTGGCATTTAGTACAGTCACAATGTTGTGCAACCACCACCTCGTTCTAGTTCCCAAACGCTGTCATCACCCCAAATAAAACCCTAGTCCTCTTCCCTACAACCTGGGCCACCACCTGGAGTGTGTTTGGTCCTTGGAGGACATTCCATATTGTTGTTGGGAATGATTAAATAATTGCTGCTTTTCTGCAGTTACCATTGTACTTTGAGCAAAAGTTTCGTAAGTTTTCAGAGTATATTATCTGGGTTGACTGGATCCAATTTTAGTTTTTGAGTTTCTTTTTTGAACAACTGTAACAATTTTAAAGATTAATATGTCCTGACTTTTGTTCTTTATTAGAGGTCTTCCAAAGAACAAAGATACATTTATTTTAAAAATAGAATAAAATTTATCCTGTCTTACAGTGATCATATGAGTCCATTTAACCCATATATAAATCTAAGATACATTCATCTTAGTGATTTTATTTAGTTTTTTAAATCTTGGAACATTTTGCTATTTTATCATCCTAAAAACGATTTCAAAGTTCATCATTAAGGATTCTCAGCTTTGCCACGAAGACTAAAATAATATGAAAACAGAAGGATGATGGAACACAGAGAAAGATAACGTGATGCAGAAATCAGCCTTCTTCGGTATTACCCTCCGGTTTTCTTGTTGCCAAAGTTCTATTCAAGAAGATGCATCTGAAGAAATGGAGATAGTGAGGGCTGTTTTGTCTTTAATTAAATACAGTGGGGGGTTCAGAAGTTTCCATCTTCTTTCCATAGTGGCAAAGAGAAGACAACTGACAGAGAAAGAGGTTTCACAATTTTAGATGAGTTGGAAGATAATTTCCAGGGGAGATCAGTGCCTTCCCCTGTGATAATGGAAATGGCTTCATATCTGCTGTCCCAGCCACATGTGGCTACTGAGCTCTGAAAATGTGGTTGGTGTGACCAAGAAGCTAAGATTTTAATTTTACTTAATTTTAATTGATAAAAGTTTAAATTTAAATAACTATATATGGCTAATAGCTACCATACTGAATAGCAAAATTCTTGACTCTAATACTTAAAGTGAAAATGATCATATAAATGAAAGCTCAGCAGAGAAATGGAACTATAAAAAGAACCAAAGAGAAATGTTTGATCTGCAAAATACAATACCAGAAATAAAAAATACATTTAATAGGCTTAATAGCAAAATGAACGCTCGCAGAGAAAAGGACGGATAAGCTTAGAGACTGGTCAGCGGAAATTATCCAAAATGAAGCAGCAATGAGAAAACTGAACAAAGGACCAACGGCCTGTGGTACAGCATCAAGCAGTCTAAAATACATGCAGTTTGAGTTCCACCCAGAGAGGAGAGAGAGAAGACTCAGAGAAAGTATTGGAAGAAATAATGGCCAAAACTTTATCAAATTTGATGAAAACGATGAATCCACATTTGTTCTTATTGGAGTAGAGCTGGGGGGAGTTTATAAAAAACTTCAGAGATGATGCTTACTTGGGAGATGACTTTTCTAAGTTGATGGTCTCTTTATAAATCAACTTAGATCTAAATTTAAATTTCCCCCAGATTTTCTCCCAAATTTCCAGCAATTCTAAAAAAAGCTTTTTAAAAACAAAAGAAATTTCATGAGAGGATTGTGACCATTTTTTAACCTTTTGTTCAAGCCCAGAGTCTGCCTCCCTTGTCCATCCTCCCAGGACATGTCTCTGAGCTACAAAGGGGACACATTCTCCCTCATGAGAGGTGACGCTGCAGGGAAGACAGGAGGCCACAGACTTACCCGTGTTCGTTCAGCGTCACTGAATACAAGTTCCACTTGCGGGAATGGGTTAGAACATCTGTCTTTAAGTAGCAACACAGTTAATGAGCAAGCAGGACAAGGAAGAATAGATTGTGCCCTCTGTGTAATAGAGAATTTTAGGAGGAAAAGTTTTCAAGAAAACAAGAAGAAATAATCTCCTAGATCCTATGTTATATTCAGAGAAAGAGGACCTTTGTTCTGAACCAAAGTTCTATCAGGTAGAGGAACACTTGGATCCTCACAAGAAATGACAAAGCAAAGGGAGGCAGGAGCATGGTGGTCGCGTTAAGGACTCTCCCTGGAGAATAACAGAGCCAGGCAAGGGGACTGGTGCCATCTCTTTCCACGAGCAGCCTGGGACAACAAGGAGCCAGGGTTTGCACCTCGGACAGGCACACTCCCAGGTGAGCACCCGGCTCACCTAATGCACCTGTGTCGAGCAGGTGCCTCTCGCCTCTGCCTGAGGTCTGAAGGCAATGGTGCAGCTTTCACCAGGACAAAGGGTTAACCCAAGTTACCCCTTTTCCTCTTGTGGCCACAGCCTCCACCAGGGTCCCAGCAGGTGCCAGGGGGCCTCTCACCCTCGCTTTGTAACGGCAGCCACCACTTGCCTGCAAAGTAGTCCTTCACCTTCAGGTAGCCCACGATCAGCCTGAGGACGGACAGCTTGTCCAGCCGTGCACGCACGTCCTCGGGGAAGGGTAACAGGTTGGTGAGTCGGCTCAGCTCTTGATTCAGTCGGTCCCGGTGCCTTTTGGAAGGGTTGGTCTTGGCTCCCTCTGGAGGCAGTGGCTTAGGACTTGGGGGAGAGAGAAGAATGATCATGGCCCCACTTTCCACTGCCATTTCACTCCTGCATCACCCCAGGGGTTCCAACACCATGCCCCGCACTGTGCAGCCCAAATCCCTGGTGTTCAGAGGCTGAATCCCTCATCCTGCAGCCTCAGGCTCTGCTCATCCACGATGCCCCACCACTCCTCTGCCCTCACCCCTTTCCTCATCTGTTGGCTGGGGCCCCACTGGGCCCTGGGCACCTAGAAGGCTCCTTCACACCCAAGCACGAGGGTTAGACCTGGCAGCCCTCAAAGTATCAGGGCCGGCCCACTTTCCCTCCCATTTGCCCCTGGCCCAGTGCATTTGCATCCACATGTAATTTTTAAATGAGAAAATCTCTGTATCACAATTAACACTGACCAAACTGAAACTCCATTTAGGAAAGTATAATTTATTGGGAATTGAGCATATGCACATGCACACAGAGAGAGAGATACTTAACATGTACCTGTGTGTGTGCTTTCTCTTTTCTTCTCTGTGTATAAAATACACACACATACACATGCTTATGGACACAGAGACATAATCTCTTTCCATATATACATACGTATGCACATATAAATTCTCTGTGTGTGTGTCCATCCATCTCTACAATCTTCCATCATCAACATGCAGGGAAGAATGATTCCTGGGAGGCTGTAGTCACCACTCATCTATCTATATTCTTACAGGCTTCTCCTCTGGGTTTCACATTCAAAAGTTTCCACATTTCCCACGGATGAAACCAAAGTTTTCATGTGTAGCTTTGGAAGAATATCTGGAGGCTCTGTGTTCCCAGTGCCCCGACCCTCATCCCTCAAAGCCCAGCACTGGCCCACAGGACCGGGTCCACCAGCCATGATTTCAGCGAGATTCATGAGCAGTTAGTTCACCCAAGTAGCACGATTGAAGCTATTTCTACTACCTCACCTCCAAAGCAAAACACAGTAGCACTCCCTAGAGGACAGAAGGAAGTTTAAAACATGATAAGCAGCAAAATGTAATTTTTTAGAAGGCCAGGTCGGGTGTGGTGGTTCACGCCTGTAATCCCAGTACTTTGGGAGGCAGGAGTTCACCTGAGATCAGGAATTGAAGACCAGCCTGACCAACATGCGAAATCCCGTCTCTACTAAAAATACAAAAATTAGCTGGGTGTGGTGGCACATGCCTGTAACCCCAGCTACTCTGGAGGCTGAGGGAGGAGAATCGTCTGAGCCTGGGAGGCGGAGGTTGCAGGGAGCTGAGATCTCGCCACTGCACTTAAGCCTAGGTGACAGAGCAAGACTCCACCTCAAAAAAA